ATATATATATATATATATATATTACAAAAGGTATTTTACCAGGCAAGAAAATACATTTTTTATCTAAAAATATATTTTGAGTAAAGGCAAAAATTTAGTTTTAAAATATGTAAACATATTTTAAAATCTATATTAGAAATGTATTTGGGGTTATTTTTTATTTTGGGTTATTTATAAATATTTTTAAAATGTATCTGGGGCAAGAAAATATTTTAAATCTTAAAATACATTTTGAGTAGGTTTGGACAATATAAATATATTTAGACTGAAAAATATATATAAAAAGGTGGAAATGTAAGTAACTCAAATGTATTGAAAATATATTTATGTAAACATTTAAAAATGTATATGATCAATGTTTTTGGGGTATTTTTGTATATTCTGAAATGTTTTTAAATATATATCTGGGGAAGGAAAATACATTTTAAATCTTAAAATACATTTGGAGTAATTGCAATATATTGAGTATGTGCAATATATAACAGTTATATTATTAATACAAGTAATATAATTTATAATAATATGTAATGTTATATAATATATTTACAATAAATAAGTTACGTATAACTAAAATTTATTTTGTAAATATATTTATTTAAAACATTAAAATCAATATTAACCATTTTTTATCAAGCCATTTTTTTCATTATATATATATATATAATACAAATTTTCATATTTTTTTCATGGGAAACTGAGGGTTAGAGGTTTATTCAAATCACTAACCATTAGTATGAGCAAAATAAGTTATGCTTCTCTAAACAAAGAGCACTAAGATACAATTGTATTTCATGTGACAGTTCAGATGAAACTGCAAAAGTTGATTATTAATCGTCTGTGAATTACATTCTCAGCACGGGTCACAAAAGATGAAAGCAGAAGACGCCAGCGGTGAACCCAGGATTGACCTCTCACATGTGCAGAATGAGGGAAAGCTTTGTTTCAGATTGTCTTAAAATAGGAACTAGTTCCTCATTTTTCTCTTGGATTATTCAGAATATAACGGTCAACAGTTTGCTGGTGGGAAATGAATTGTGCTGGCCCTACGAAACCAAGAATCGTCTCACGTCTTTGGTTGATTTAATACAGCGCCGATTCGGCTCATCACTACTCATTTTGCTTTGATTACACAACAAAAGGACAGAAATAAGGTGTTAAAACATGAAAGCACCCGAATTTTGTGGCACAAAAAAAGTAGGGTAGGATGAGAGAGAGAAGAAATGGCAGGTAATGCAATATTCATGCGCACAAAACAGATTTCCCTTTAGTTCTCATGATTGGAGGAGGGAAATCTTCGCCCGGCCCGTCTTCTTAGAGGATGGATGCATTAATGCCAAGTTCTTATTTTTTTGGTACTTTCAGAGAAGATGTGGCTTAATCAAGGAGATGCACTTCTCCTTCCCCTGCTCTTTGATGTTGTGAAAAGACGTCCACGGTTAACCCTGAGTGTGCAACGGCTGAGCATTTCTCTTTCAAGCCTGGGATGATGAAAGTGATGATGCCGTGGTGGTGGCGCTGTATCAGGGGGAGTCCAGCTTCTCTCGAAAAAGAGATGTGACCCTGATTGAAATGAGGAACATATTTGATCTTGAAATGAAGTGCTTCTTTGCTTTGCACTAGTGCACTCATCTTTGATCATCAAACGTAATTGATATTACCACATTGCTTTTAAAGCTTACTGAACAACACGCCAGCATATTTTCCGGAGAAGATTGGTGTCATTGGTGGAAGGATGTTCACTGTGTTGGATATTTCCAGATGAGATCAGCACCACTGTATGAAATAGAGCAAACTGTGACAACAAATGCATCCAAATGCACTGTAAAAAATTAAGATTATTGGTGTATGTTTTACAACAAAAAAAATACTGTTTCAGTCTTTCTACTTCAAAATTTCATTTTTAATGTGTGTAACGAAACGACTCAGACAGGTGGAATAAAGATCAACAATAATTAAGATAATTGCAGCAGGAGCAAACTGGTAGATGCAGGCAAGTGATGCAATATGATAAAGACTTCATGGACGTGAAGAATGGAGCAGGTGCACACAATTTTTTTTTAAATTTAATTTAGAAAAATATTTTATATATATGTTTATATATACAGTATATATATATTTCTGAATTAACATAAAATATATTATACTTTATACTTATAATATTCATTATTTTATATTATATTTATTACAGATGTTTGAAAATATATCCATCATTCGGGTACTTCTTTCTAGTTAATTCTTTGTAATTTTTTTGTGAAATTTAATGAAATTTAAATTTGGTGAAATTTGTGTCAAACTAAATCCCACACCTTTTTTTTTCAGCGTGCGTATGAAATAATTTATGTCTATTTCTCTTTTTTTTTAGGATGCTTGAGGGTATTTGGGAGCCGGTATATTATATTCTGGAGTTCTGCCAGTCATTTGAGAATCACAAAACTGTTTAACACGCACCTGTTCCCCGTGCTCGATTTGATTAACCCCTCTCGTTTTATTTATTTGGTTTCAAATCTATTCAAATTTTTGGTTGGATGCAGAGATGGCGCTGAAGATGTGTTATTTATCCTTGGCCAACAGAGAGGAAATCTAAGAGTGAAATTCCCATGTCGCTGATAACCACAAAGTCAACATGTCAATAATTCATTGCTCATATGATTTAATATATCAGCGTTTGAATTATTCATTCTCTTGGTTTCTCTCTCTCTCCACCTGACAATCTACATCTGACTCTCCCAGTACTTTCATATTCATTTCAATCGGACTGCCGCTGAATGATTTATGGACGGTTGACTTGGCCATGCACTCCATGTAAAAGGCCATCCGTGTTGATGGAAAAAACAAACATGGACACAGTCCGGAGTATTTGAGTAGCTCTCACCATCGGCCCCTGGAGAGGAGCGCTGGAGCCAGTCAACGCTCTGGATGAGTAGGATATAGAAAACCACACAAGAGTGAAAAATAGAGGTTTAATAGAGTTCAACAGGAGACAAACCTGCAAACATTGTAGACTGCATGTTCAGATTTGGCTCACAATATAGTCTTAAGCCACCTGTAAGAGACAGAATCAATCCACAGGTCGACCTGGACTGAGAACCCCTTGGTTTAAAAGTAAAGGTTTAAAAGAATCACTGTTCTAAGTTTGAAAGCCACTGAAGTATAAGCAGGTTTATCTCAACCAACAAGTAGTTCAACCAGTTGTAAATCAGATCAAGCATTGTAAAACTGTATGTTTCTATATTGTTGTGTATTTCCAACAACCACCTCCTCCCCTATTTATCCTCCAACATGGAAACTGTCCCGTATTGTAGCCTGCCCACACAAAACAAGACGTGGGCTGAAGTGGCCTTTGAGTTCCTGCAACATCTGAACAGTTGATTTTTATAATCCGACTACATCTGAGATCATCTGCTGATTACAAATGTTATAAAATAATATCAATTTAAACAATTGATTTTGGTAATTATTAATTAGTCTAGATAGATAGATAGATAGATAGATAGATAGACAGACAGACAGACAGACAGACAGACAGACAGACAGACAGACAGACAGACAGACAGACAGACAGACAGACAGACAGACAGACAGACAGACAGACAGACAGACAGACAGACAGACAGACAGACAGACAGACAGACAGACAGACAGACAGACAGACAGACAGACAGACAGACAGACAGACAGACAGATAGATAGATAGATAGATGCATACATTAAATTGATATTCTGCCATATTATTAGATACTATTAGATAGGTGTGTGTGTGTGTGTGTGTGTGTGTGTGAGAGAGAGAGAGAGAGAGAGAGAGAGAGAGTGTGTGTGTGTGTGTGTGTGTGAGTAGGCATATGGGTAGGTAGATGAAATCATAATAATGATTAGTAGTAGTAGTAGTAATAGTATTTTGCTGTTGTTGTAATGAAGCTTATTTGTTTGAATCCAGGAGCTCTCTCCTTGAGAAGTGTTGACTGTCTCTTTAAGGGGGGTTGTCGCGTGAACAGAGTGTCGGTTTATATCTCAGACTCCTCCTCCTTCATTCTGATGAGGGTGTTTCTTCCTTCTGCCCCAGTCCACTTCTATCATCCAGGGATACAAATGTTTCTTTATCCACATTCGAGTCTGTCACCGGAGCTGAATTATAAATATTAAACACACAGTCGGGACCCGTTCGTGCGCCTTCAATCAAACCATGGGATTGACACGCTGACACGGAGAGATTTGAGCGTTTGGAAGAGAAACTCGGAAGGACTGAAACTTTGTATCCACACCTTTGTTTCGCGAAACTTTTTTCTTGCATGTCTTTAAGTTCTGTGCAGGACTATCGGAAGATTCCAGGCACGCGAATGGATATCAAATGATGCCCGTGGACTGTTTTGGAGGTTTATTTCAGTGCGGTTTTGTAGGAAGAAAACCCCATTCCACAACCCACAGGCTTCTGATCTGATCATGGGAAAACTGGGAACGTCTTGTTGTTTCTAGCCTCGGCACAATCGCGCTTGTAAGATTTGGGGTTAGTTCGGATTACAGCTCTCGCTGAGAGAAGAAAGTTTCGTTTTAATCAGACTTTTGGGGTTTTAAAGTGCCAACATGCCTCAGTTAAACGGCGGAGGAGGCGATGACCTGGGAGCAAACGATGAACTTATTTCCTTTAAAGATGAGGGTGAGCAAGAGGAGAAAATATCAGAGAATGTGTCGTCGGAGAGAGATCTGGACGAGGTGAAATCTTCCCTAGTAAACGAGTCCGAGAACAACAGCAGCTCATCAGACTCCGAAGTAAGCAAAACAGTTCTGTACGATCATTTTAGTGCACTAATGCATACATGTTAGTGTTAATTAGCAGTGCTAAAACTAAACCGATGCTTTATTTCCCAAATGCAAGCAAACAGACAGGCGTCCTCGACTCAGACCAGAACTAGAAAGTTACGAGAAACAGAGAGAATACTTTGCGGAAGGTAAAAAAAAACAGCTTGAGATTTATTCCTTGTGTTTTGTGTGAATAATTTATGCATAGTAATGACAATTATTCGTTTGCTGTCGCCCCTAAAGCTTTGAGACGACAACAAGATGGAGGATTTTTCAAGGGACCCACTTATGCTGGTTATCCGTTTCTTATGATCCCAGATATTACGAATCCATACCTCTCCAATGGATCGCTATCTCCCAGCACACGAACGGTACGTGCCATTTCACTTTAAACGCAACTATCACCTTCATGACGTCACGCCGTACTCCATAATTTTTTTCTGTTGCAAGAATCGCGTTACAAAAGTTGCCTTTCAATGCGCCATATTCTCTTCTTTGTTTGACACTTTTGTGTTTAGAATCTTGTTTAAGACTCAAAAACTAGTAAATACCCCAGCAAGCTTTGTCTTCCAAAAGTTTGTTACCACTTGTTGAGTCTTGAGCATGCATGTATTAGGAGGCCATTCTGATGCATTGCACAATAAGTCATTTACTTGGGCTCACCCGAGCACAAAAGAAGCCTTTATTCGCCGCCTCCAACGGCACAAAAATGGACTTTTCGCAGTCAGATGTCTGCACAATTAATTTTGTATTATCATACCAGGCGACAAACTGGAGGCAAGCCCAGGCAGATAGGATTTATCTAGCTTTTGGTGTCAGGAATGTGTCTTTACTCCTTTTTGTTGTTGTGTGATAGGATGTTACACGGTCAGAGAGTCGAATTTACGACTGGGTGCATAGATATCGAAAGCATGAGGGTTCTGATTGCATGTTTTTATGGCTTATATCATAAAGACCTTTGAGTTCATTTGAGCCACATCAGGATTTTCTAGATAAGTTCTTCCCCATCAGTGAAACTGTCTTTCAATTAGAGGGCTGTTAGGTGACTATTGTTATCATTAGTTACCGTTTGACGGCCCTATCATAGGTCTCTACTGGATGCCCATTATCTTAATGACATCTTCACCTAGGGGGGGGGCGGTTTGGCTACCTGAGCAGCAAGCCCCCACCGAGGTGTTTGAATTGCAGGCAAATTGCTGCATATGTTTGCCTTCCTCCATTTAGCTCCATTGGAGTTTTTTTTGCACAGTGTTTACCTGTTACTTTCTAAAGCCACTGTGTCAATGTATAAGTGATGAGGCATGCGAACGTAGGCTAATATGTCATTGTGGAAAAATTTCAGCAAGACTGTGGTGATAAACATTCGTTCATTGTGCTGCTAACTCATGAGAATGCATGAATCTGTTGGTCATACATTTGGATATTAGATGTGGCATTAGGTTTGCTTGTTTGCAGCACAATGGTTTTTATCAACTCATCAAATAGCATTAGCCAGAGAATGGTTGCTGTCGCATGGGTGGTTTGACTAAGGAAAACAGGTTACCTTTAGCAGCTGTAACAAAGAGCGACTGTGATTCTAGTAGATAAGATGGATAATAACATCTGACTTCTGGCTTGTTGGTGTGTATTTGTGTGTGTGTGAGCCTGAAGGCAACTGATTCAACCCTGTCTTTCCCATTGTACAAAAGAAAGGTTGTATATAGTTTTGGAGTACAAAAGTTTGTGAAGCGCCACTCAGTCTATGAAGGGCAAAAAAAACATGTAATGTTACTGAACCGAAGCTGAAAATTATTTACAGTAACTGTTGGCACTGGATTTTCAGTGTAAACACAACCTGCTATGCTAAGATTTTTTGAGGGAGCTTTATTTTCTCTCAGATCTTTTTGTTTTAATTTGTACGATGAAAAAAAAACACTAAAGCTCTTCTTGTAGAGGGTTTAGCTTCCCTCTTCCAGTTATAAAGGAGCTTTAGATACTTTTTCTTAACTGAGTTAGTCTGCTTTAACAAGGTTTGCTTTGACCCCAGGTTGAAGTTGCTAAAGGTTTTATCTTCCACAATGTCCTCTTTTCGCAAATGCTAATTCAGCACTTTTGTAGTTTTGAACATCCCCATCAGTTTAACAGCATTGCTCTTTGTTTGCTAATTATCACTTCATTATTTAATAATGCTTCTTAATTGATTTAATTATATTCTGGTGGGTGTAAACAACAGTCCACTGATTAGTCAGTATATTTTTGATAGCGCTGTGAGGCTAATCTTGTTTGATTTTCTTACTTGGTTTTGTTGGTGTGGCTGTAATGTTTTGTTTATTAATTTGGTCTGCTAAAGTTTGTTAGATGCTATTGCTAACATTTTATGCTAGCTTAATCCTAGTGTAGCACAGCCCAGTAGCAAGTGAAACTGACTTTGCAAAAACAAGCAACGTTTAAGGTCCATTCACACCAAGAATAATAACTTTAATAGCTATATTAGTGGATTGGCTAATGGAGGAATTCTGGACAAAACAACTGTTGCAAAAACTAGCAAAGTTTGTCAAGGTCTGTTCACAACAAGAACGATAATTATAATGATAGCCATGTTAGCGGATTGGCTAATAGGTGACTTCTGATTGGCTGTCAATGTTTTTCTTGTTCTTCAACTGGGAAAAAAAACGTTCTGAAAGTGATTCCAATAATATTGTTCCTCTGTGTTGTTGTTGTAATAGTTCCCTATAACATAGAATTAGAAAGATTATTAAAACTTTATCCTTATAGTTGGTGTGAATGGACATTTAGGTACCACAAACAGCAACAATGCAGAAAAAGCGAGCATCTGCACAATTTTAACACAAAAGCATTGTTGTCGAAGCACTTCACACTTAGGGCTGGGTATCGTTTGGTTTGTTTTCGATACCGGTGCCAAATCGATACTTTTAAAACGGTTCCGATGCCTAAACGGTGCCTGAACCGAAACGTATTAAAAAATAAATAAATAAATAAAAATTCCCCCAAAAATGATGGATTGGCCATTAGCACCATAAACACACGATGTTTGTTTCATTCATACTGGACGCCAGAGGGCGCCCTCGCACAGAAAATCCACATATCCAGTCACAGAAGTAGCGGAAATCATGACCATCCAGGAAATCCCTTACATGGACAATGGCATTGCTATTATAGCTGTAACTGAGTAAACAGAACATATAAACGTTTTGAATGATAAAACAAAGACAATAAGCACTCGACTGCGACAATATAGTTTATCTGTGTTTTTCAAGCCATCTCTGGTATTGTCATAATAATTAACTATATTTATAATCCATTGCTAATCGATGTATTCTTTTTAAAGTAGCATATGGAACATATTTTCTGCCTCATTCTGTGACAAGAAGCCACATCAGATCACAAAAGGAAGCATTTGACTGGTGTGGAGTAAAAAAAAGGTTATAATGTTCTCTTTTGTTGGACAACAGGTTTAGAAATGTGAATACAAGGGAGGTTTAGCTTTAGGCATTTTAATTTAAGCATGTCTAGCTTAGTTAACGGAAGGCTACCTGCTGCCAACAGAGCAAGTGTTATTACTGCATTCACGCGCTCCTCGGATGCTCTCATTTCCCGAGCTGTGCTTAAGT